CAACAACAAACGCAAGACACCACAAAAAACAAACAGAAGCCCAAACACAAAACCAAGACCCAAAAGCCACCAGAAACCTCCTAGAATCCTCAAAGCCCCTGAAAAATCCCAAGCGGCGGAGGAGCCCAGGCGCCCGTCGGACGACTGGGCACTGTGCGGCTCGGGCCCCAACGCTACGGCGCCGCGGGCGCAGCTGGCGCCGCTGGCGCCAGCAGCGGCCTCAAGGGTTTAGGGTTTTGGGTTTTGGGTTTTGGGTTTAGGGTTTAGGGTTTAGGGGGCTTTCGGGGGGCTTTAGTAGGGTTTAGGGTTAGGGGTTTAGGAAAATTCTTAAGTCCCTGAAGCCTTGCCTACCCTTTCAACCCTAAACCCTATAGAGCCCTAAACCCTAAACATCTAAACGCCTCAGCCCGAGAAGTCCTACACTATAAACCCTAAACCCCCCGAAAAAGGACCTTCTCAACCCTAAACCCTCTAGCACCTTGAACCCAAAACCCCACCCTGTCAACTTTGAACCCTAGAGCCTGAAGCCCTGAACCCCACAAAGCCTCAAGCCCCCTGAAAAAGGACCCTCCCTCCAAGCCGGTCGACTGGTCCCTGCGCGGCCCTGCCAGCCCCGCGCGCGCCACACCGCGGCTGTCACTGGCGCAGGCTCGGGGTTCGGGTTGTGAGGGGGTTTGGGGGGGGGGGGTTCAGGGGTTGTTTCGGGGGTGTTAGGGGTTTTAGGGGGGTTTTAGGGGGTTTTTAGGGGGTTTTAGGGGGTTTTTTTTGGGGTTTAGGGGGCCTCAAGCCTTTTTAATCCCTAAAGAGCTGAAGTTCAGACTCCCACCCGGCGATCTCTAAGTCTTTGTGGCACTTTACTATAACTTTAGATCTTTAGCCTTTTTGGGTTTATTGGGTTTCTGAATAAGGCAGCTAGAAATTTAACTTCTAGCTACCCTCCTAAGTGCAGCCAAGAAGTCTCCGGGGGGGGCCAGGGCCGGTCTCGGGACATTCGGGCGCGTACGAGGCTACGGGCGAGAGGCAGCCTTGTGGATGCAGAGCTCGACCCCAAAACCCTAGACCCTAGACCCTAGACCCTAGACCCTAGACCCTAAACCCTAAACCCTAAACCCTAAACCCTAAACCCTAAACCCTAAACCCTAAACCCTAAACCCTAAACCCAGGTTGACTAGGACTCTGAAAGCTCCTCAGAGGGTTTACGATAGCAAGGGGCCCCGCAAATGTATTTTCAGGGGCCCCAGGGTAGGAGCTACTGGTTACTCGTGTATCATCCTAGGTGCGTAAATACATAAATAAAAAACATTAATAAATTGATTAAATAAATAAATCAATATATATATATATATACACATGTATATATATATATATAAACTTTTTTGTAAGCTGTGGCAGGTATGAGAGGGTAGAAGGATGACGGGCCTCTTGTCGGAGATCTTTAATTTCGGGTATCTCTCTCTCTCTCTACATATAGTATGGTCTTGAATTCCAAAGCCTCCCCCTAAACCACAAACTGTTGAGCCCTCAAAGCAAGACCACCCTAACAATCCTCAACCCCAAGCTCTGAGAACTAAATCCTAAATCCGAAGATCTCAACCCTAAACTGAAACCTAAAGAACTATCAGCCTTAAACTTAAGCCCTCTAGAGTCTATGGAAACCCTAAACCCTAAACCCTAAACCCTGACCCCTGAACCCTAAACCCTAAACCCTCAACCTAAACCCTAAACCCTAATGAAAAACATTATTCAATGGTAATAAATGAGAAATTTGTTCAGAACCCTAAACCCTAAACCCTAAACCCTAAACCCTAAACCCTAAACCCTAAACCCTAAACCCTAAACTCTAAACCCTAAACCCTAAACCCTCCACAGCGGCTGCAATTTCAGGAGCCCCCCTCGAGCGGCTGGTCACGGCAGCGGCCGGCGCCGGAGGCAGCTCCACCCCAAAGCTCAGCAATACCCTTTTTGGGGCCGTTTAGGGTTTAAGGGTTTGGGGGCCTTCAGGGGTTAAATTGTTTTGAGTTTGGGGGGCTTAATAGGCGTTTAGGGTTTTGGGGCGTAAGCTCCAGTCTAGAGTCTAGTAAGCTCAGCAATACCCTTTTTGGGGCCGTTACCCTAAGGGTTTCGGGGGGCCTTTAGGGGTTAACTTGTGTAGTCGGTATGCGCCCAGAAACTCTTAGGGTTTAGGGTCCTAAACTCTTAGGGTTTAGGGTTTAGGGTTTCGGATGATCTTGTGAAACAGAGGCCCACTACGAAACACTGGGCGTTCGCACAGGAGGAACACTTACTCTGATTTTTGGAATTCGTAGACCTGAGAGTAACCCCGCCCCCTTCAAGCTGAAACGCATGAACCCTAAATTTGACTTGAACCCTAAACCCTAAACCCTAAACCCTAAACCCCAAACCCCAAACCCCAAACCCCAAACCCTAAACCCTAAACCCTAAACCCTAAACCCTAAACCCTACACCCTACACCCTACACCCTAAACCCTAAACCCTAAACCCTAAACCCTAAACCCTAAACCCTAAACCCTCCCCCACATCCAGGAGGAGGATGACGAGCCGCCGGGCCCGGCGGGGAGGATGCTGGCACTCCCGGGGGCGCGGCTCGTGGGGGGCCAGCTCAGCGCAGGCCTTCGGGATATTTGGAAATAGGGTTTAGGGTTTAGGGTTTAGGGTTTAGGGTTTAGGGTGTAGGGTTTAGGGTTTAGGGAGAATTTTTAATCTTTGGGGCACTTTAATTCCCAAGAAGCAGCTATCATGATGATTTTTGCTAGGGCTCCAAGTTCAGTGTAGCTTGCTTGTGGGGCGGAGGGGCAGACTTTGAATTCCTGGCTTGAGGTTGGTTTTGGGGTTTAGGTTTTTTTGGGGGAGAGTTGGAAGTGTAGGGCTTTAGGGGCGGAGGTCAAGAGGTCTGCGGGCATTAGGGTGCGTTGGATTCTTAGGGTGCGGGGTAAGACCGCCTAGGCTTTGTGGTACTTTACTATAACTTTAGATCTTTAGCCTTTTTGGGTTTATTGGGTTTCTTAATAAGGCAGCAAAAAATGTAATTTATAGCTACCCTCCTAAGTGCAGCCAAGTAAACCCTAAGCAGGCATCAGCAAGGTCGATTGGATCGACAGCCTCGCATGGCTGCGGGCCTTGCGTCCTGGCTTTCAGTGGTTTACGTTTTGAGGGGTCATGATATGCTTTTTTTTGGATTTAGGGGTTTTAGGGTGTAGGGTTTCCGATTTTGCGTTGTGCCCTTTCTGGGGTTCTTGCAACAAGGAGCAGAGTACTTCGGGGGGGTTCATGAGGATTCCCCTCTTTGGGGAAGTGCTCATACGGAAATCTGATTGTTGTGAGGGGTTCTAGGTACAGTTGAGATGTCCGTAAACCTTAGTTAGCCCCACGGTCTACAGAAGGGTTGAGAGCTTTGTTGGCTGCTAGGGTTTGTAGCACGGAGGTCAGGGATTATAAAGGCGCCAGCTCCAAAAAAAATAAGAGCAGAGGTCTCTGTTCATCTACAGTCACCAACCCTAAGCCCTGGATGATTCCGAAGCCCTAGGATCCTTAATCAGCACAAGGTTTAGGGATCTCGTGTTTCAGGCTGAGCTTGTCAAGGCCACTGCAAGGCCGCCCTCAAGGCTAGATTACTACACCTGCTGCCCAAGAACCGGAACCCTAAACCATCTGACTTCTTCGGGGCTTAGGGTCTGCCATCAGCATGGCCTCTAGCTGCGGAGCCCTCCCCCCCCCCACCCTCCCCCTCCCGCCTCCCCTCACAACCCCCCCCGGAAGCCCTGTGCTCGATGTGAGGGCCGTTGAAAAGGCGATACAGACGATGCAGACTGGGTACCTTGAGGTTCCTTCGCCGATAAAAGACCAGATAGCACGAGCGTTGGGTTCGGGGTCTCCTCCCGCTGTGATTCCCAATCTAGGTTGCATGACAGCAAAGCAAAAACAGCCGGAATCCCTGAGGCTCTGAGGCCCTGAGCCCTGGCAGCCCGGGCAATGGAAGCCACACACCCCGAACCCCTCAAATCCTAGACCTTCACACCGTAAACCCTCAAGCCCTACATGGACAGTTTCCTACATTATGCGCGTTTTTTTGGGTTCCCACTATAAGGTGGCACCTTCTCAAAAGGGATCCCAAACAGGGACCCTAATGTAGAGAACTACCCACATACATCAGCTTAACCAACCCTAAGGAAACCACCCCCAGGACCCAAAAGCAACAGCCCTAAACCCTAAACCCTAAACCCTAAACCCTAAACCCTAAACCCTAAACCCTAAACCCTAAACCCCAAACCCTAAACCATAAGGAAGCACCTGGCGCTTCCTTTGGATGCCTTCACCTCGGGCCTACAAGGCCCCCCTTTTTGGGGCCCGGGGGGCGGAGCCTGAGCGAGTGGAGCTTTGCTTTTTTGTGGGCGGAGAGGGGGTGGGGGGGGATGAGTTCAAGGGCTTTGGGGTTTAGGTATCTAGGGGTTGAGGTGTCGGGGAGTGCGGATTTGGGGCTAGGCCAGGATGTAATCAAGTTATCCATGGCGAGCCACGAAGCCCCTTACCCGAGGTTCAGAGCCTTTAGGGGTGTGGAGGTGCCCCAGCCCTAAGCGTTCTTCGCATGAAAAGGTAAAGATTCTTTCTGTAGTTGACCTATCTAGACACAAAGGGCACTTTTTCTTCTCCTATAGCTTCCGGGGGAACCTCGCCATTTAGCCCAGTGTTGAGCTTTTCTTTGTTGGGGGAGGGGGAGGTGGGCGGGGGCAAGCGAGCGACGCAGCGCAGCCCCCCCTCAACACTGAGTGTCAGACGCGAACGTCTATCTACGTTTCTCCTGATCCGTTTTTCTCTTTCGTCATCTGCTTCGATTGTGGTACGTGCACAGTATCCAAGAAGCCTTAGCGGCATGCCATTGTCACCTTTCTGCAGCTATTCATGCTTAAGCAAGCACACAGAAGTAGTGTTCGAGCGTGTTTCTGGATCGTGCACAACACGTGCGCATCCAGAAGAAAGGATACATGGCCTGCCAGAATGCAGCAGCGTCAGCAAAGAGATTTCTGGGCATCTTGGTGGTGATGTTGCTGAGCGATGGTGCTGTCACTCGGCTAGTTGCAGCGAGTGCCGCAAATCCTGCTGCCTGTGTCGCGGCCGATGCAGCCTTGGCTTTCGTCAAAGCTTCCCCGGTCGTGGTGGGGGCACAGCAGAAGGACAAATGGCTGGCCATGTTCGCCGAGAACGGGCTCATCCAAGACCCATTCGGAGCGATACACCAGCAAGGCCGTCAACAGCAGTCTGATTTCTGGGATACTTTCATCTCAGGAATCAACATCACATTTGCCCCGCACTATGACATCGTCACTTGCACCAGTGTCGTGCGCATTGTCAACATCTCTGCCATCACTCCAAACGGCTGCCCTACTAACATGCGTACCATCATCGTGTACGACTTGATACCTCCGCCTGCAGAGGCGCATGCCAAGCTTCCTTCAGCTGCCAAGCTGCAGCTAGCCAGCTTGACGGCGCTCTGGTCTCTGCAGGAACGCTCGGCTCAGCTCTTCAGACACACATGTGCCTGGAAGGCCACAGCTCAGATGAGCATCCGAATGCTCAAGTTCCTTGGTCCGACAGGAGCAGGCCGCTACGCCAGCGGGTTCTTCAGCATCGGAAAGGAAGGGCAGTCTGCAGCTGCGGCAGCATTAGCTGATCTAGCTGGCGAAGATGGGGTGCGAGCCTTCTCCAGGCACTTCTCTGAATCAGGCTCGCTGACCTTGCACCAGCCTGGATCTGCTAGGACCTTTGTGTCTCCGACGGCCATCGTTGCTGGCTTGGGAGATTGGGGATGCAAGCTGGTGGCGCCACCCAACTCAACAGTGCCAACAGCTAGACGAGTTAGTGCCGAGGTCGGCTTTGCCTGTGGCAGTTCAAAACATGCACCAGGCTTGGCCGTCATCGACTTCGCGGCGGACTCTCTGTCGCTTGTGGCTGCAGCCTTCTACGTGGGGACGCCCACAGGACCCGTGCTGAGCCCCAAAAGGGAGCAGGCGGTCATATAGCCTCACATGAAATTCCTGGGAGACCCGCAAAACGATTCCTTGCAAAGATCCTCGTAAACTCAGTGGGGGTCTGCGGCTGAGGGTTTTTTGGGTTTTTGGGGGTCTCCTTCAATTGCTTCAACTTTGTGTACCCACCGTGGACCGCGCGGTTCAGCTCGGCTCGAAGAGCTGGTTGATGATCAGCTGCCGGTGGGATGGTGACTCAACAAGCGATCATGGTTGAAAGCGCCCGATTCTCTGGCAGGCCCTAAGCCCTACACCCCACAACCCGAAAACTTTGACCCCAAACCCAAAGTCTTGGGGACCCTTCTAGCTCAGAAAGCTAAAGCAGCTAAAGCCTCGACCTTCTGTTGCCCCTTACGCCCTACAAAGGCAAAGCCTCCTAAGCCTGAAAGCAGTTGTGGGGACGTTGTGCCCCCCCAAACCCCAAAACGCGTAAACCCTGAACCCCTACATCCAGGCCACGGTTGCCTGAACGGCCGCCAGACGCTGGCCTCGTTGCGGACGCTCTCGGAGGGTGCGCTTGGGCTTAGGGCGGCTTAGGGTTGAGGGCTTAGGGAGGGTCCAATCCTGCTCAGAGAAGCTTGTCTAAATTGTAGACCCTTACAGGGTTTATACGGGCAGGGTGGGGGCGGCGGCTAGGGACTAATTTTAACGCTACGCGACCCGCCTCGGCCCGGCCCAGCGCATCCGCAGCGCCCAAGTCGCTGGACCCAAGCAATAAGGGTTGGGTTTAGGGTTTAGGGTTCCGGGTTTATGGTTTATGGTTTGGGGTTTAGCGTTGAGGGTTAGTTTAGGATTGAGGGCTTAGGGCTCAAGGTTCATGCTTTGGGGTTTAGGGTTTTTTTGGGTTTAGGGCAGAGGGGAAAGGGGGGGGAGCTAAGATTAGATTTAAGGTTTCGGGTTTCGGTTCAAGCTTAGACTCTTCGGCTCGTCCCCGGCCGTGCTCACAGGGCGAAATAAGGGGGGGGGGGGGGGGGGGGGGGGGGGGGGGGGGGGGGGGGGGGGGGGGGGGGGGGGGGGGGGGGGGGGGGGGGGGGGGGGGGGGGGGGGCTGCTGGGAGGGGCTTCAACTGCCTCTGGTCCTGGCGAACCGTCCGCTTGCGGACCCCGGTTTCCCAGGGGGGGGTACCCATTTGAGGCAAAAAAAAAAAGGGGTCCGAAAAGTGGCTTTGGGTTTGGAGGGGGGTGCCTGTTCTGACAACCTATACACCTCCGGCCCGAGGCCTCGGCGGATTTGCGGCCGTGCTCACACCAGTTGAGCCTCCGGCCCTCAAGCCAGCGCGTCGGAGCAGGAAAACTCCGTTTTTCACAATATTATGTGAGCAAGCGCCAAAACCCCCAGCCATACAATTAAGCAAGGGGTGGACACGAATGCCTAAAACCCTGTAAAACGATGGGAACACTTGAAAAGCGACACCCCTAGGTTATGAACCATTGGGTGTGCTATAGCGACACCTACAAAAACATCAAGCCCCTCTTGTTGCGTCCATTAGCACCTCGAGCCCAGCCGCTCATGTGGCTTTTGGGGGAGGGAGAAAGGGGGGGGACAAAGCGGGGGTGGGGGATAGGGGGGGGGGGTAGGGGGGGAGGTGTCGGGGTGGGGAGGGGGGGGGTGGGTGGGTGGGGGGGGTCGGGCGGGTGGGGGGGGGGAGGTGGGGGGGGTGGGGGGGGGGGGTGGGGGGGGGTGGGGGGGGGGGGGGTGGGGGGCGGGGGGGGGTAGGGGGCAGGTGGTTGGGGGTGAAAAAGGGGGGGCCCTGCTGGGAAGGGCTGCAACTGCCTCTGGTCCTGGCGAACCATCCGCTTGCGGACCCTGCTCACCTAGGGGGGGTACCCGTTTGAGGCAAAAAAAGGGGTCCGAAAAAGGGCTCCCCTCCCTTGACCGCCCCTCGTTGCCATAATTCGGCCGGCGATGAACCCTAGATTCCCGTGAAGACCTGAACCCTGAACCCTAAACGCTTGTCAAAACCCCTAAACGCCAAACCCAGCCCTAAACCCTAAGCCCTAAGCCCTAAGCCCTAAGCCCTAAGCCCTAAACCCTAAACCCTAAACGCCAGATGTGCCGCGGCGGTGCTCCTTGCTGGTACTGGTCCGGACGGCAGAGGCCTGGCTCTTAAGGTTTCCACCCTAAGCCCTACAGCCCTTAAATCCTAAGCCCAGGTAGGGCCTTGAAGCAGCCCCAGAAACCCCAAACCTTCAACCTTAAACCTCAACCCTCAACCCTCAACCCTCAACCCTAAACCCTAAACCCTAAACCCTAAACCCTAAACCCCGAACCCCTGAATAGGAACTCCCAGAGCCAGGTCTTGGCGGGGGAGGTCGAGGCGCGAGACCCTTTGGCGGACTTCTCTCAGGTTGTAGGGTTCAGGTTGTGGGAAGCCTAAACCCGAAGCTCTGAGCACCTTCTGTGTGTTGCCCAAGGCTATAAGGAAACGGGGGGTGCTGGTTTTGAGAGATGATGAGACCCCCCCAAATAGACAGGGGCCACGCAGTTAAACAGCTGACCCCCACCGAAACCCCAAAACTCTCCCGGAATTCCTAGCACCCTACACTCCAAAACCCTAAACGCCCTACACCTTGAACCCCAAAGCGCCCGATTCGTTTAAACCCCCAAACCCCGAAATCGCCAAACCCTAAACCCCCAAACCCCCACCCCCCCAAAAAAAAAGCCCCTACACCCCAAACCCTAAACCTAAACCCTAAACCCTAAACCAACCCTAAACCCTAAACCCTAAACCCTAAACCCTAAACCCTAAACCCTAAACCCTAAACCCTAAACCCTAAACCCCAAACCCCTGAGGTGCTCCTTTGCGACCCATCGGGTTCGGCCTGGGCGTCGCTCGACCGCCGAATCGCAGGCCGCTATAGGGTTTGCAGGGTTTTTTTTGGGGTTTGTCGGGTTATAGGGTTATAGGGTTATAGGGTTATAGGGTTATAGGGTTATAGGGTTATAGGGTTATAGGGTTATAGGGTTATAGGGTTATAGGGTTATGCCGTTATAGGGTTATAGGGTAAAAGGGTCGTAGGGTTATAGGGTTATAGGGTTATAGGGTTATAGGGTTCAGGTTTTGGGGGTTTTCCCCTCAAGCTGAAACCTCGATCTGTCCCTCTAAGCCCTAAGTCTCTGAAAGCTGAACACGTCGAACCTCTCGACCCTACGCTCAAACTTCTAAACCCTAAACCCTAAACCCTAAACCCCAAACCCTGAACCCCTGAACCCTAAACCCTAGAACCCCCTCTCTCCCGCCAAACGCGGAGGTGCCTGGCCCAAAGCGAGCTGCGAAGGGTCTGTGCTGGTTCTGGAAGGCGCCCTTTTTAGGGTTTAGGGTTTAGGGTTTAGGGTTCAGGGTTTGGGATTAGGGTTTGGGTTTGGGTATTCAAAATTTAACGCAGTAGGGACTAGAGTTTAGGGTTTGGGTTTGCAGGCTTTTTAGGGTTTAGGGTTTAGGTAACTCCTGCGACCCCAAACCCTGGAACCCTGCGTTTAGGGAATTAGGGAATTAGGTGAAGAGATGTAGGGTTTAGTTTCGGGACGGGACCCCCCCAACACCCTAAATCCGAAACCCTTTGATTCAGGGTTCATGAACTGACTACAAAGGATTTCAAGATTGCACTTTGGGTGCGGATTACCCTAAGCCCTAGACCCTGAAGCCTAAACCCACCACAGACATCGCCTCCTCGAGACCGAACCATACTTATCATAGGGCCCTGTTATTTCATCAACGTACTACAGTACGCCCTAAACTCTAAACCCCTAAGCCTCTAAACATCAAACTCTTAAAGTTTAAGGCCCGAACCCCTACTAAACCATAAGCTCTTAGCGCCTACCACCCTAAACTCCAAAACTCTACACCCCTAAACGCCAAATAATCCCTAAACCGTACTCAGCCCGAAGCCCTAAAACCCTAGTACCCTGTGACCCTAAAACTTAATGACCGAATCTAAACCCTAATACCCCAAACCCCT